CAACAACTCTTTTTGGGAGAACATGTGATAATTTATTTATATTTAATTTTTTTTTTACAAATTTTAGGTTGTTTTTAATTAGATTTAATGTATCTCATTATTTTATTTTGTTAATTATAAATAATTTTTAAAAAGAAAAACATGTTATATTATATTATTTTAGAATAATATTTTGTGTAGCAAGGTTGCTTAAACTCTTAGTTTTTCATTGAAATTTTTTTGAACCTATCAAATATCAATTGTTTTCATAATGTTTATTTTTTGTACTTGCATATCATGATTCATTATAATCACGAGGTTAAGGTAGTTTTCATTTAGTAATCTTAGTATCTAAATTAAAGTAATTATTGTATGAGGTTTTTATTATAATGATTTTAGTTTTCTTGAGTTATTATTTCTTGTGTATGTGTTAATTTAATTTTAACTTTTTTTATTGTATTTTTTTACATATTGGTTTAAGGTTTCTTTTTCTCTAGGTTCATATCATAATTGCCATGTAGTATCACAATTAATTGCTATGTAGTGTTAATCTCTCACATCAAATGGCCACCTTTTATTTTTAAATTTTTAAAGATTTAAAGGATTGAGACCTTTAGATTCATGGAGGTGCAGGATCTCATGAGTGATTTGTAAGAATAGGCCCTATGAAAATCAGCAAAGAAAGAAATATAACACATGACATAATTTTTCAGGGACAAAGATAGAAGATAGGTAAACTGGGCAGCATGATTACGTCAAAAAATAAATACAAAGAGGCAGCATTGGTTCTTCGACAAACCATAATAGTTAACTAATTAGAAGCATTGGGTAGAGGGGAAACATGCCAAAACCCAGTAAAAGGTTTTGGCTGAACTGAATGGTTTTCAGCAACCTTAGCTGAACTGAATGGCAGCTTGAAAAACAAGGGGAAATAAATGTAAATTATTAGATGATAAAGATAAACAACAACAATATAATAATAAAAAACTTGGCACACAGAAAAACAAAAAAAAAAAGACCTAAATCTAAATAGACATGATGCATGCTTCAAAAGAGATGTACATAAAGAAAGATAAACCGAATGCTACTAGTTAGGGGAAGGATAAAACAACAACCAAAAAGAGAGCTAGCCAGATTAATGCCAGCTTAAAGAATCAGACAAGACACCTTCAAAAACTTTGAAGAGCTAACTCACCAAAAAGTAAATGAGTTACCTCAAGCGCAACTCTTAGCAGAAGAAACATTAAAAGAAAGTTGTATAGATATCCAAATAATAGTATAACAAGCATAGAATCAATCATTTCCTCAATTAGCTAACCAATGTATAGCTACGTTGGCCTCTCGGTATGCATGTTGGATTTGCACTTCCTAGTCTCTAGTTAATGTTCCTCCAGCTATGGTGATGAGTGCATAGTTCGAATCAATTTGCACTCGAGTCTTTGTGACAAATTCAACAGCTGGAGTAGAATGAAACTCAAGAAGTAATTTTCTAATACCTAGCTCTGAAGCCAATTATAGGCCACAAACCATTGCCCACAATTCAACTTTGATAAATAAACAAATCTTTATGCTGACAGCAAGATCTCCTATCTAGTTACCATTACTGTCCTGAATGAGACCTAAAGCTCCTGCTTATCTCGAATTACTTTTATTGCATCCAACATTTGTTAGAAATGTAAGCAATGGGTTTTTTTACAATTTACTTGATCTATTTGATTTTTATTACTATTGTTAATAATATAGGCAATTGTTTCTTGAAAAATTATTAGATTTTTATTGCTATCATAGCATTTTTATATCCAAAATATTTCATTGGTTCAAGGGTTGGGCCAAACATTTCATGATGGATTTTCCATAGGGGTATGTCCTAGTTGCATTTCCTTTTTATTCATGCTTTAAAATTATCTTTTATGACTTGGTTTTGTGTTTTTTTTTAGCCTTTTATTTTGTATTTTAATATAAGTTAATTTGAAGTTTTTGGGTGATCAGATTTTTTGATTGAGCATGAGTTTAAGATTTAACGGGTTGTAAATTTAAAAAATTAACCCCAACTTTAGAAGATTAGTGTTGATTCATTTTTTTTAGCTCATGTTTTTTTTTTAATTCCATCCTTCAATAATTGATTTAATTGGAGATTGAACTTCATTATTTTTTTTAATTTTCTTTCTATAGGATTTTTCACTAATTTTAAAAATGATACAATTATCTCAAGTTTTTTATTCATCATTTTTTGTTAAATTTAGTTTTTTTACAAAGAAATTTTGTTTTGTAATTAGATTCGATCAATTTCTTAAATATAAGCATGGTATGCCCCACTTCATGATATTTTATTTCTTAAATTAACACAAAATCAATTTAAAAATGAAAAATCAACTCAAATAAGAAAAATAATTTATAATCCTTGAGTCTTATTCTACTTTTTTTCCTAACAAAATGAAGGTTAAAAAATCCCATATAAAATTCATCTAATTAAATGAAACCATTTGACACCAAAATTGATATTTTATTTCATCGAAATAGGGTTAGACGATAATCTTCTCTCTCCTCTCTCCACTCTCAAGCCCATAGACCAAAAGATGAGCAAAATAAAGTTTCAAATCAAAACAATTGTAAAATCCTTTACCACTTCATTAAATAAATAAAAAAAGAAATTTAAGGACTAAAATAAAAAAGAAAAATAGAGGAAGAACTTGAAATTATTTTATTGTGACAAAAAACTCATAGCCTTTAGAGTATTATTTTTTGTTTTTAGATTGTTTTGATGTTCTCATATTAAAAATAATTTTTTTAAAATAAAAAAATATTTTAATACATTTCTAAGTAAAATAGATTTTAAAAAATAATATTTACTGTATTTCCAAACACACGTAATATACCATTATTCTTCACATCCACACCCTTCCAACTAACCATTCCATAAAAAAAAAAAAACCCAAGTTGTTGAATGCAGAGTTTATAACTCATCACAGCCAAAAAAACCTTTTATGCACTCTCAACCACTATAATAGATCCTTCTAAGAATGCTATTATGGAGCTGCCGAGTGTTGTAACAGGTAAAGGATTGGAGAATTCATGAAGCCTTGTATATAAAATTGACCATACTATTTTACGTAATAGCCAAAGAAAAAAAAGAGAGATAAAACTATGCAACAAAAACAAAAGAAGAGGCAAAATTAACAAAGCTACAAACATGCAGATATAAATGATGCCAAATTTCCTACATTTCGTATTTTTTGTACTTTTTCTTATTGCAACTCTTGAGTTTGGTTCAGGTTTGCTATGCTGAAGTGAAGAGACCTTGTGATCTATGAGCTATATAATTCTACAGTCTAAAGTTCATTTATTGACAGGCAATGCCTAGCATTAGATACTGATCTAGAGAACTTGCCAGCCCTAATCATCAGCCAATATTTATCTTAACAAGGATAAAACAATATGTGCATTCCTTTTCTGTCTGCACAAAATACAAAAAAAAAAAAAAATTGCATGACATATAAAATGCTCTATGCTCAACAAGGTGTATATACCTGAATAGTTTTTGAAGCCCTCACCCAAGAAATCATAATTAACTGCCCTTAAAATAGAAATTGAAAAAAAAGATGCAAAACCAAGTCATAAAAGATAATTTTTAAGCATGAAGAACACCCTTGATATATATATATATATATATGAAACATTCTGGACACAAGAAGAATACTATGGTAGCAATATAAATAAAATAATTTCTCAAGAAACCATTGTTTACATTTTTATCAATTGATCATATAACTTGTTAAAGAAGCCATCACTTACCTGTTAACCAATGATGCTTATTGTAATAAGGAGAGATTTTAATGTATGATGGAGCAAGATGGTTTTTGAACAAGACATGGGATTATGTGAGCTGACAATGCCTAAAAATCAGGGACAAATATAATCCCAAACCATTAATTCAAATAACAAACTATCTAACATCACAATACCTCATAAAAAGTTATTATCCTAAATCAAAACCAAACTTTTAAGAAATAAAAAAATTATATAATTTAACACAACCAAGGAGGAAATTATTGTAAATATTAGATACAAATAAATAGAAACAAATTATAATTTCAAGCATGTATGTATGTTGTTCTTAAATATATTTCTTTAACCCAAGACTTGCCTATTTTATCTTGAGTTTGATATAATAATCAAGTTTAGATATTTTGGATATGATACATTTATTGAATTTATAATTTTTTGAGTTTGATATAATTGCTAAATTTAAAGTTCTCTATCATTCCATTCATATTAAGATTCATTATATAAATAGTAAATAATTTTTTTAAGATATTTTTTTATTTATAACAAAAATATATCAAGAAAAGTGTAGAGGTAGAAAGATGAGAAATAGAATTGCATGCTAAAAACATACTAAAAAAAATATCATCGCAGAAAAAAATATATAGTTATGTGATAAGGACATATTAGGAATAATATTTTTTTTTTATTTTTCTTGGAAAAAAATAGAGTAATACTATGAAATCTTGGCCATGAAATTTCGCTTGATTTAAACTAATTATTAATTCAATTCAATTTATTTTATTTTTTTATGTTTTTTATTGAAATTTATTTTTCTTATAATAAGTTTTTATTAAATAATAATGCTTGAGATAAAAGATTGTTTTTGTTAAAAGAAACGAATATAAAAATATAAAAATATATTTTGATTAAGTGTAAATGATTAAAATATTTATAAATATTTATTTTAATTGCTTTATTTTTTTTAAAAAACATGCTAATAATAAAAGATATATTTATTAAAATATACATGAATATAAAAAATAAAAACTTATTTAATAAAGTGTTTTTTTAAAACAGAATTTAAATTATTATCTTTGTTTTTATAAATATCGATTTTAATTTAATTGTGAAAATAGATTTGTTTTTTTAAAAAGAAAGGAGACCCATACGTTCCTTAGCCGTGAAAGCGAAGTGGGAGAGTAAATGCGCTTTGTTTTTTATTCATTAAAGAAAGAAAGAATCAAATACTAGAAGGGACATTTACTTGTAACTGAAACCTTCGTCGTTTAACTTCTACTTGTTCTCCCAACAAAGAAGGGTTCAATTCTGCTGAACACAAAAAAAAAGATGATGGGCTGGCGAAGAGTATTGAAATCTTTACAGGCACTGACCGCCCACAGTCTTCTCTTTTCTTTCACTCTCTTTCTCGTCCTCAAGCTTGATCACGTCGCCTCCTACTCCTGGTGGTCAGTTTCTTTTTTTTTTTTGGATGAATTCACCCATGGATTTTGAATTTTACTGAAATTGGTAGTAGTCTAGATTCAAGCAATCTCTCAAATTTGTGGGTTTTTTTCCGGGTAATTTTTTGTTTGCGAAACTTGAATTGCATACATGGTAGTTTAGTGGAAAATGATTTTACCCTTTCAAAATCTCAACCTCTCTTCTGCGAAGAAAGCCTTTTTTTTTTTGTTTTTTTCTTAAAAAAGAAAGAACCTTCAGTTTTATACTAGGATTAGTGTTACAAACCAGGGCAAATTTCTGTTTTTTCAAAGTTTTACTGTCGTTGCGTTTCGTGTTTCGGGGGATAACAGAGTGACAAAGAATGAAAAGTAGAAACTCTATATTATACCCTCGACCATGTTATTCCTGATGTCGGTGCTTATTTCGTACTCGGTTAGAAACGCTCCAACTGACGAGGCAATGAAATCTTTTTGGGTGTTATTTTAAATTACAGTCTCGTGTTTATGAATATAGAACGTTCTTGTCTATTGTTTTGGTATTTGATCAGTTCTATTGGAATAGGGACTGATGAGGTCGTGAAAACTTTAGATTGGGCTTTCAGGCTGTGATCTTAGGTTGGTCCGTGAGCTTTTTTGCAAAATAAGTCCTCTTGTGGGCACAAGAGATACTCTAATGCTTAAGTTAGTAAAATATAGGAGAAGGAAACAATGTACCTGAAAATAAGTGGAACTATAGGGAGTGTGCATCTATATGCCATGTATTTCTGTCTTTAAGTTTGTAAAATATGGGGTGGATGGTTTTAGGAATGAAAGGTTGATGGTGATTATAGGAGATTGTATGACCAATCCTTTAATGGATGTGTTTGGAGTCCAAGACTCAGGACTTTTTTCCTATTCTTACCTGTGACTAGGTATTTATACATCTAGCGCTTGTCCTTGAACTTACTTCATGGAGAAGAAAAATATTTTCATTGAAAATTGGGTCATTGTGTGCTTGCCATATGGGGATGTTGGTAGCATGTTGTTGGTTGTTGTGCCATACGTTATTGGTGGAGATATTGGTGTTGAGTTGTGTCATTATCGTAGAAGAGTGCCTACTCTACATAGAAAAATTGTGTATAGAAAAAAATTATATGCATGGAAAGTTTGTATGTGCAACTCCTGGGGAACTTGAAAAAATACATAGAGGTGTGTGTTGGGACAATATTTGTACAACTCGGGACTTGAAATACCTAGATTCTAGTCGTTCAGGGCCAAACAACCATGATTTCTAGCTGTTTGGGTTGAGAGACCAGTTGTCTGGGCCATGGCCAAGCAACTGGAATGTTGGCGCATGCCATGCACGCACAATGTATTTTTCTTCTTATAAAATTTTTGCGCTCCATCAGGGACGAAAGTCAAAGTTGGTATTAGTCAAAGTAAAGAGGTTTGAATATTTGAGTGTTTGGTAAAGTAACATAACAGAATGAGGTGGGTTGGGGAATGCAAGATTTTCTTTTCCTAGTTTAATGAAGTGATTTTATTTTAAACATATATGGTTCTTCAGTATCTAAATTTGTTCCTGCTATCTTCTGATTTAGATGTTATGTATTTAATGTTTTGCATGTTAAAGTTTACAATATGGATAATTTTATTTTCAGGTTAATATTCTTCCCACTCTGGACATTCCATGGAGTTGTTGCTCGAGGAAGATTTGCATTACCTGCCCCATCAGTTCCACGTAATCGTCATGTAATATTTCCTTGTTTTATTTTGGGGTCATGAAATATTTAAATCTATCATTATTTGTGAATATGAAGTGTTGAGCTTTTGTTTCATGAACAGTGGGCGCCGTGCCATGCAGTTGTGGCAACACCATTGCTTATTGCATTTGAACTGCTTCTTTGTATATATCTCGAAAGTGTTTATGGTATATATACCAAATGCCCTCTAGTATTTTTATGCTGTTGAGAATTGACACGTGATAATAACCTTTTCAAGTCTCTTAGATTTTGTATTTGTCATTATATAATAATGTATGTCCTTAGGCCTTCAAACTTTCTTAATGCTTTATCCTCTTTTGCAGTTTATCATATTCCAGCTGTAAACTTGAAGATTGTCTTTATTCCATTTTTGGCATTAGAAATAATTACTTTTATTGACAATTTCAGGTATTTTCTTTGGATTATTAATTCATCTCAGTAATTTAAATTACAAATAAGCAGTTAATATCCTACATTGCTTTTACATAGTGCAAATTGGCACTGAGAACTTTTTGTAACTGGCCATGCCTTTTATTTTTTAACAAGTTAGCTCTAAGTCATATCCAAGCTTAAAAAGCATGCATTACTATATTGGTCAAATTTTAACTTTTCCTTCATTTTTTATGGACAAATAGAATGTCAAATTATTGCTACAAGGGCTTAAATTAGCACAGTATGCTCTATGCTTTGCCTTGATTGTTCTTTTACACTTAAATACTTCTTCCTCCATAGAATTCAACCTTTTCAGACCAAGAAAAGATAATTAAACCAATTGTACTAATAAAAGATAATGTCCAGAATTTCCAACTAATTGTAAGTTCTGTTCACAATTATGTTTGCCATCGTATTGTCTCTGTTGGTAACTAGTGTAGATGTACTGTTTTTCCAGTTTACATTCAACACATTGATTAGCCTCCCTTCCTCCGCCCATATCCAAGTCTTCTTTCTAATTGGTAAATACTATTGTGCGCCCATTTCATTTATTGTGTGATACTGTTAATGGAGTTTTATTTCTTCTACAGAATGTGTAAGGCTCTAATGCCAGGGGAAGAAGAAAGCATCAGTGATGAAGCGATATGGGAAACATTGCCTGTAAGTTTTTCATAGTACTAACTTGGAGATCTGTTCAAAGCATGCTACAGTTTATTATTTTGTCTGTTGCTTGGAACTTATTTAGCAACATTTACTAAATTTATTTATCCCTTTCTTTCCCAAAACGAACGTAATTACTTTCTTGACTGAGAGTAGGTATTGGAAATATTAACAATCGAAGAGAGATTCAACAACTAAAAGAAAGATTGATTCTTTGGGATCCTTCCTTTCTTCAAACAGAATGAACAGAGATAGAATCAGACCGATTCCCTAAATGCCTTTCTGGATATTCCTCAATGTCCCAGCTAACACATTGATTTGGAACATTTTAAACTTCAAGGACTCAACTTATTTGTTGAAAGTAAATAAGTTTTCGTGAAATTATGGTTTTTTTGGAAAAAAGAGAGATGTCTTTGTGTTCTGTGGTTTGCATAATTCCAAAATGTTTATCTTGCTATAGACACTATTTTCATGCAGAAATCCTGCATGCAATGTTTGCAAGTTTATAGTATTTTTTATATACCTATGATCAGGTGCCACTGTCACAAATTTGGCATTTTCATTTTGGTTTGCAACTCACATGATGGTTTAGGTTGTATATGAATCTGTTCAAGGATTAATGAACTTCCATACTATTTTTGTAGCATTTCTGGGTTGCAATTTCCATGGTTTTCTTTGTGGCTGCTACAGTCTTTACCCTCCTAAAGCTGTGCGGTAATCTTTCTTAACTTGTATTATTTTTAAATATAATAACATTGGTGCATTCAAATTAGTTCGGGTTGTCGTTTTTTCCTATTACCTTGTTTTGATTCAGGAATCGGTACCATAACATTTATTTCATCTTTTCAGATAGTCATGTTTACCACCCAAATTTCTATTAATTTGATTTTTTTTATCTTACATGCATACATCATAGTTGTCAGCATCATGTTGTTATTATTATTATTGGTATCATTGTCATCGTTGTTGTTGTTGCTACTTTTTTACTTTTGTGGAATGGAAATGGAGTAATTGGACATCAAAAAGCCTCTTTTTAATTCCACAAGTAATGGTGATTAATTATTTAAAAGCTGTTTCTTGAGAAAACACAATCTAACTTCCTCTGGAATGGGCTAAAGACAACTTCGTGAGTTGGAGTTGGCATATTGGAGCTATGTGTGTCACTAGGGTCATTTCAGGCTTTGTAGAGGAATTGAATGTTTGGCAAGTTCAGGTTTTTGATAAAGAAATATGGAGCTGTGGAATTGTACTAGCTAAATTTTCAGTTTCTAGAGGTATATTCTTAAAATGCTATTGATAACCACCTGAATGATCCATTAGAAAGGATCCTATTTACATGGTCTGAAAGTCATGTGTATCTGCAGTGAAGGTTTTTTTTTTCCAGCAAATGATCATTTATCTGGTGAAAATGTCATTGGATCATATTTCATGATAAATTAGCATCCCAAATTGAGTGGTGTGACAGGGTTGAAGGTTCTTTTCAATGAAAAACTTCATGGTCCTTGCAGAATGCTGAGTGTCTAGTGAAACAGTAGTTCTTTGAAACATATCTTAAAAACCAACATTTTTCACACTTCACGTAGTTCATGCTTTTATATGTCATTAAAATTGTGTCTGAGTGCACTCTTCGCTTCATTGGATACCAACTCTTCCTCACTGACATTCCTTATTTGGTTCCTATAATTGTTACATCAGGGGATCACTTTCCATATAAATTAGCACCCCAAATTAAGTGGCTTGGTAGGGTTGAATGTTCATCTCAATGATTTGAATTTTGTGTTTGTAATGATAAATGTATAGACAAGCTGTTGTTCTTAAAACATAGCTTAAAAATAAAAATTTTGTGCAGCTCATGAGATGCATATTTTTACATGTCATTAACATTTTTGTGCGCGTGCTGCTGTGCACAAGACATGGCATTCCTTCCTTCATTGGATGTTAGCTCTTCCTTACTGACATCCCTTACTTGGTTCCTGTTTTTGTTATAGTGGAGATCATAATTCAGATATCCCTTCCCATCATATGATGGTGGTCAACTGCTTGGCGGCAGAATACGTTCATGTACTATATATGAGACTACACTTCAGAGAGAAAATTACTTTATTTCTTCAATTTTCTAATTGATACTTTGAAGGCTGTGGAGGTTTATTCTTGGAGTAATGCTGTGATGTCTTTGCTTTGTCTAATATAAAGTCACTTTGGGGGCCTGTTTCCTAACCTGGATAGTGGAAATTGAATTATGTACTTTCTTTGCCATTGATCACACTGTAACAGCTAAACTTGTCCTTTTCTGTAATGTGGGCAATCCTATCTATACCGAATCCTTGCATGTGTCCTACCAATATAATGACTGCTTTCTGTTTCTTTCTTAAAACATTTCAGGTGATGTGGGTGCGCTTGGCTGGTGGGACTTGTTCATAAACTTTAGGTAAGGCTGTATTGATCCTTTCTTTCCAATTGCTGTTTCTCTGTACTGCTTCAGAGTTCAGACATAATAAAGCAGGAGACATGCTTTTAGTGCCACAACAAAGTGATAAATAACAACATTTTTTTCTGCAGCATTGCAGAGTTCTTTGCCTTTCTCGTTTGTACTAAATGGTCTAATCCAGTGATCCACAGAAATTCTCAGACAAGAGAAGTTAGTTCTTCTTCAACAACCATTAGATATCAAGATTGGAATGTTGGCTTAATGGTTTCTCCCGAGGAGAATCAACACCAGGACAGAATGTGTGGTCTGCAAGAAATTGGTGGCCATATTATGAAAATTCCTTTAATTGGTTTCCAAGTTCTCCTTTTTATGCATTTAGAGGTACTTGTGTAATTGACTTGTGATCATGGCTGCTGGATGGGATTCTTTTATTAGCAGATAATGGCCTTTTTTATTTCAGGGAACACCTGCTGGTGCTAGAAATTTACCGTTTCTGGTTCTTTTCTCTCCACTTTTCCTACTTCAAGGAGCTGGTGTATTGTTTGCTGCTTCTAAGTTGGCAGAAAAGCTTATTCTTTTATTGCGGAGCGAAGCTGGCCCAGGAAGATATTTTAGATTTTCCTCAAGAGCTCATGACTGCTTGGGGTTCATGCATCATGGTTCCAGGTAATCACTACCTTTCCATCAAAAAATTAACCTGTCCAGGCAAGGTTGTCACTCCACTGAACCAATGTGAGTATTTGATGTGGAATGGTTACTAACAGAAGAAACTGTTCTGCACATTCCAATTTGTTAATACAGGCTGCTGGGCTGGTGGTCAATTGATGAGGGAAGTCGAGAGGAACAGGCTCGATTGTACCATGGGCGAGATGCTGGGTTAGTATATCATTTTTCCCGTACATTTAATAATGGCCCATAAATTGCAAAAGTATTTTTTTCTTTTTTGAGCATGTGTCATGTTGGATGACATCCTTTGGCAAGGTCAAGTGAAGAAGGACAAGGACATAACAATAGAATTGAGATATTTGAAACTGGATTTTGCACATTTAAACCTAGGAATCTGTAAGCTTAAATTTGAATGGACTGCAGTATGAAATTGTTCTAGGAGCTGATAGATTTTTTTCACACACACACACACACACACACATATATCCTTGGAAGTTGCTTAGTGTGGAAAAGTAGGGATGGGAATTTCATCGGGGGTGTTGTGATTAGTTATATATTATTATGTCAAGGTTAGTTCCCAACCTACACCACAATATGCGTGTGGTATTGTGGTGTAGGTTGGGAACTAACCTAATCTTCAGCCTCTTTTCCTCGGTTGCCTCTCCCCTTTGTCACATCTTTCTTCTCCTTCTCATATCTTTTTCTAATTCTTATATAATCTTTACAAAATGACATTGTATCAGAGCATAACAGTCTAGATATAGTGAGTTCAAACTCAAAACTCTTCTAACAGCCTCAACAGTTCCCTTGCTGACTTCAGCTATATCAGCATGACATCATCACACTTCTCAGGTTGTCGCCTAAGAAATGCCTCGGCTTCATGATCAAAATCCCCAATGTTCAACTGTCAATCATTGTTCCCTTAACTGCCAATTTGTCAAGTTAGGTGACGAATCTTAAATCTTGAGAATTATAGGGCTGTTTGTTGTAGTAATTAAGCATGATTGCATGTGATTGAGTTAGTAAGGTGCTATGTGGTTTTTGGCTGGTTGGGCTCTTGTGGTGTTCAGTTATTTGGGGTCAAAATGGTTTGGATGCCTCTCGATGGAGGATCTCCTCTTTAAATAGTGAAGTACCAACATAATTACATTCTAAAATCACTCCTGGACCATAATTACAATTGTCTATAAATCAATCTCCCTAAATTAAGTAATTACATATCAATTAATCTCCCTAGATCAAGCTCTCTAAATCAAGTAATTGCATATAAATCAATCAAGATATTATAACTAACATCCACCTCAAATTGATGTTGGTGGATTACAAAGCATCAATTTGTAAATCATGAATTAATGTCAATGACAAGATAGAGCCTTGGTAAACATATAAGCTGTCTGGAACTTAGTGGAAAAATAAAGGAGAGTAATCATATGTTAGTCAAGTGCTTCATGAATAGAATGATAATCTACTTCAATGTGCTTGGTGTGCTTATAAAAGATTGCATTAGCAGCAATTTGAATGGCATTGGTGTTATCAGCATGAAGAGAAGGAGTCAGTTAAGGAATCCCTAGTTCACTCAACAGACTCTGAAGCCAAACAATCTCAGAGCATGCAAATGACATAGCATGATATTCAGACTCGATTGAGGATTTAGAAACTCTATGCATAGCTTGTTTCCAACATGCTAAGTAGAAGTTCAAGAGTAAAACTTAAGTACAGTATTAGTATTAAAAGTATCTTGAAGAGTTCTATGAGAGAACAAATACCTATATGGAGGATGTGAAATCCGAATGACCGAAGAGGTTCAGCCAAGACAAGATCAAGTGTTGGAGCTAGGTCATGCAATGGAACTGATGGACGACGTCTCTAATACACAATTCTTGACTTAAAACATTCAATATAACTTGACATATCATCAAAATTAGGAAGACCAAAAGAAAGACTAAAAGAAATATTGATTTTCAAAGAAGACCACAGTTTGACAAATACAAAGTTTATTAGCATCTGAATCATAAAACACAAACCCCTTATAGACATTTCTATATCCTAGAAAGGCACATTGAACAGATTGAGTAGCAAGCTTGTGTCGTTTAGTTGGTGGCAAGTGAAACAAACGCGACCAAATATATGAAAAGAATTATACTCTGGAGCAACACCAAATAAACAGGAATTCAAAGAATCCAATTTGAGAACTTGAAAGGGTAACGATTAATCAAATAAACAATTGTAGATAATGCTTCAAATCTAGTTGGTACATAAGACTCGATTAACAATTTATGAACATCTAAAAGGTGACGATTCTTACACCTTGTAACCTATTCTATTGAGAAGTGTATGGACAAGAATGTTATGAGGGAATACCCTTCATTTGTAGATAAGATGGAAAGTCATTGGACATATATTTCCCCTAGAATTAGATCTTAGAGTCTTAATACAAGTATAAAATTGATTTTCAACAAAGGTAACAAAATTTTGAAAAACTAAAAACATAGTAGCTTTAGAATAGAGAAAATATAAGAATGGAGGAAATATACCTAAACAAAAAGACTATAATTATCAATAAACATCACAAAATATTTATACCGAGCATGTGAAATAACGAGATTGATGCGCACACATTGGTATGAATGATTGCAAAACTAGTGGAAGCCTCATTGCCTTAGAAGCAAATTATCACATTAAAGAGGGTGAAGGCAAGGTGGTGGAGAAAGGGAGGTTTTAGAGGTTGGTTAGTTGATTGATTTATCCTTCACGCCTATCCTAATATAGTTTATTTAGTTATTGTAGTTGTCAGTTTATGCACGATCCCTGTACATCTCACCTAGATGTTGTTTATCACATCTTATGTACCTAAAATCAGCTGCTGGGAATGGATTGTTATTCACATCTTATGTACCTAAAATCAGCTGCTGGGAATGGATTGTTATTCCCAATGACATTTAAAGGTAGATGCCTTTATTGATGCTAATTAAGTTGGATTACCAAATGAAAGAAGATCTACATCAAGATATTATACTTTCTTTTGTTGTAATCTAGTCTCATGAAGTGTGAATTTTATGGTTTAAAAACCTGATCTATGAGTTGGGAATGACAAATGATGATCTTATATCACTATTTTGTGATGATCTCACAATTTTGGTCAACATGACCGGATGAAGAACATCGAGATTGATAGGTGCTTTATTAAAGAGAAGTTGAATGATATGACTATCTGTATTCCCTTTGTGATGTATAAAAATCAATTAGCCAATATGTTTACTAGTGGACTTGTTTCACTCTTTTTACTTGCTAGATGGACATGAGATATAATTATGCTCCACTAAATTGCTATATTATAATGTCATGGATAGTTATGTAATCTCGTGCTCCTTCTTCTATATATATATTCTTTGCAGTGTAGGTTGGGCATTAACCTAATTTGCCTCCTTTCCTTTTCATCTCTCATTTCCCTTTCCTTGTTTTCGTATCTCACATCCTTCTTCTCTTAAACAAATATTAACAAAACATCAAGGGTACCCTTCTTAGTACTTCTATTATATTTTAGATTGTTTGTTCATACATAAATAATTTTTTATTTGTGAACTTGCATTTTGAACTTAACTTTTTTTTTTCTTACGGATTTTATCTTATAGTGGAGGTTTATTAATTTTCATGCTTTAAATTTTTAGGATGTGATTTCCAAAATTATTTCTTTTTATTTATTTTCTTAAGAACTTGGGGTTGGATTGGGTACCCAATAGGTGGACAAAGCTCTCCACCTGACCTAACCTGATCACGTCAAATGTGGAACAGATAATGGTTTTATTTTCTTAAGAACTTGGGTTGGATTGGGTACCCAACAGGTGGACAAAGCTCTCCACTTGACCTAACCTGATCACGTCAAATGTGGAATGGATAATGGTTTTAGGTATTCTGGGTAAGGTTCAGCCCGTGTAGGTACACTAAAAACCTGCTCCGCTCCAATCCAACCCTTCTCCATCTCTTAATAGAAGCAAATAACTCTAAACCTGCATTCAGTAGTATATAAGCAATACAATTTTTCTGGAAGCATTCCTACAATTTGAGTTATCCATGTTGACACCAGATATTCTTTAATGTCATTTTATCAAGCATCCTCAATTTTGCATTTTGAGTTTTCTCCATCAAGTGTGCAAATTTGTGCTCTTTACTAATATTTGTAAATTTGTTTCATTGATCTGCAGTTATAATACTTTCTGTGGTTATCCTCCTGAGATAGTGAAGAAAATGCCTAAAAAAGATCTCGCTGAGGAGGTGATTTAGTTTTCATTTTTGTTCGTTGTATGTTATTTGTTGCAATGGAAAAATTTCACATATACATATAAGCATGCTCTCTTTCTCTAGGCATTTGTTTAATCTTTGATTGAACCATGGATTTTTATTGGACAATTCAAACATTGATGATGACCCTCTATTGTCTGCTTTTGCATTAGTATACGATTCTGTTATATTTCAGGTGTGGAGACTGCAGGCAGCTCTTGGTGAGCAGACAGAAATCACAACATACAGCCAGCAGGAGTTTGAAAGACTTAAAAAATGTAATATTCTCATCTTTTGCTGATGGTCTCATAATCAAGGGACATGGTTTGAAGGTGTGAATATTATAATGTCTGTTATTTGGAAACCATCAATTTTTTAAAAAAAAATAACGATAGCACCCTTGTTCCATGAATTTGAACATTCTTAGTTGAATTACTCATTTCTGACATGTGGATAAGTTTGATTCACTTTTTACCCAAGGTTTGAAAATTAAATTTTTTTACTTTTTGTGCCAGTGTTCTGGGTTTATTGATGAAGTAAAATAATTTTCAGAATGGTTAACTTTCAATCCAAAGTAATTCTGAACTTTTCATAATATCCATGTGAAAATCTGTTAGTCCCCAATTGGAAGATGGAAAGGAGCCTGGAAGAAACACTCAGCCGTGTTTACTTGTGGAAAAGTTACTCTACAAAACAGAAAACTAAAGAAAACATGTTTACAAATTGAAAATTAAATGTTTTTTTCTTGAAAACGTGCATTTTCTATTTTTCTAGTTCTGTGGAAAACTGAAAAACTCAAAAAGGTTGTTTTCCCGATTCTTCACTATAAAATTAAGGGCTTCCTTCGGTTTATCTAATTTCTTATGTTCATTTCTTCGATTGTTTTGAATGTAAGCCAAATAATGCTCTTGTTTTCTATTTTAGAAAATTTGTATTTAATAAATATGTTTTACTGACTTTGATTATCTCAAGGAAAGATATTTTAATCAAGAACCTGAAACTCAGTCTCCAATTTGTCAATTGCAACGTGAAATATGCATGTTGAATTACAATAACTGTAATAATACTGTCACAACATTACACATACTTGAAAAACAAAGTGTTTGGGAATGCGGTTGAAACAGCGTTTTCCAAAAAATTAATTTTTTTTTGGCTTAAAATTATTATTATTATTTTATGTTTTTAGATAGTTTTGATGTGCTGATGTTAAAAATAAATTTTTAAAAATAAAAAAACATTATTAAACTGAAATAATGCATCACACTAATTTCCGAATGAAAAACATTTTGAACTACAACCGCTACCACATTCTTAAAAACAAAATGCTAAAGATCCAATTAGTTATTAAACTGAAAGACATCATAATGCACTAATATCTTGGAATTTAGATCTACAATGCAATTTTCTTAAGCATAGATTTTCAAAGGGGATCAATGTATCACACTATATTATTTGAAATAAGTCATAGAAAAGCTTCATGCATTGCAAAAGATCCTGCTGTGTCTGCTCTGTTGTCTATAAATGATGGGAGTTTACTTGAGATATTCTGTTGCTTGAGTTTTCATTATTCTGTTGTCATCATGAGATATCTAAATACTATTTTGATGTACTGGTCAGGAAAAAGTTTTATGTAGGGTGTGCTTTGAGGGAGAGATCAGTGTGGTTCTGCTCCCCTGTAGACATCGTATCCTTTGCAGGTATGGCTGTAACTTGGTATCTGCTAAAATGTAAAGCTCTTCTTGTCCCTTTTCTTTTTGTCATGCTCATTGATTCTTAAATTTATTGCAGCACCTGCTGTGAGAAGTGTAAAAAATGTCCAGTTTGTCGTGTCTCTATCGAGGAGTGCTTATCTGTGTACGACGTTTAGCTTCTAACCCAGCAGTTTCGTAATATGAATGATCAATTGGAGTCCACAGATAAGGTATAACAGTTTTAACAGGGAAGTTCATTTTGCAGCTGATCATAACTTCTACTTCTGCATGCGCTGCTTGTTCAAATTAACATGATCATGCATTAGGGACATACAGGGGACATGGTTGCTTTACTTGTATTTGTACCTTTATTTTTCTTCAAAGAAAACAAATGAAAGTAGTATGTAGTTTTTTATTGGTAGAAGATGCTGATATGTTTTTGCCATGCCCCGTATACCCTCTAGACATTTAAGAGCTGTATGTCTGTGTATAGAAGTGAGTGTTGAGGTGGCTGGGACCTATTTTCTCTTGGCATTGGAAGCTTGAAATACATCATTACGTTCTAATGTAGATACATTTACCCTCTTGGGAAACGTTTGTATGTTACCTTGCAAGTGATAGTTTGAGGATCCCCATCGTAGTTTCAACATAACTCTCTATAGTGATACTAATTTTGACTTGTGAGATACAAGTTAAAGAACGACTTCAGGGATGTCAGAAAATGAGATCATAACACCTATACGAGTTTATTCTACAAAACAGGCAAAGATGTGCCATGAGTCATTCCTGTAATATCAGAGGTTTAGTCTCTGTTTTACGCCTAACTAGATTTTGGAAGTTGATTTTGAAGCATTCAGCTCGAGTTTATTGTGTTTGATTAATCTGTACAATCAGCTGCTGCTTGGCACCTTTACTATTTGCATTTACCAATTTGTTACCCAAGTGCCTTTACTATTTAGCAGCAAGTCCAGAGGTTGCCAATCACATTATTTGCAGACGACAGGGACATGTCTTTCTTGGTAAACAAATCTGAAGCATGCCAATTTGAAGGATTCACTACTTTTAGAAATCCAGGTAATTCAAGAAATATGCAGTATTATTGGTAATGCGGCATCCTTGTTAACGCAATTAAAATAATGCAATAAATAGTTATTGTTGCTAGAGTTGACAGCATCTTCCTATCCCAGCAGCCAGGAAGGATTTTCAATAGATTTGCCGTTACAAACATTAAATCACGAGTGAATGGAAAATCTTCCCCCATTTATCATGCTGTGACAAATAAAGCTTCTGTTTAGGATTTGGCATTATGATGCCACTCTTGGTAGCTGGCTTGGTAGTTTCAAATTGCCCGTTAGCTGAATTGCAAAATCATTGAAGCAGTTATCAACGGTCCGCAATGATGTGTCTGGACAGATTATGCACACTTTAAACACCGGCTGGCTGATCCATGCGGTAGTTTATTTGGCAGCTCTTTATGAAAATGTCTTGAGTAATTGCAGCAACTATGCTCTGTGGGATCCTCATCTCTGCTTACATGAAAACTTGGTGTAAGAATGCTTGCCCAATATCCTTCATGTGCTTGCTCTAATCAGGGGCAACAAAAATAGATGGACATTTGACTCTGGTTTTACTCTTAAAAAACGAAATCCCCTAGTTTACTCGCCTTGTTAGTTCAATTCAACAATGATTGGAGAATTACAAAAAACAAAAAAACTAATATTTAAAACCAACCTTTGGCAGCAGCTAGTAGATCGTCTTCTGTGATGGTGAATCTAGGAAGCTTGTATCCAAAATCATTAATGCTCAGCGGGTTGCTCTGTGGGCTTCTCAAATAATCATTATGTTGGGGTCACAGTTTAATAACGACATTGTTGGGTTTGTATAGATTTTAAAAGTATATGGTGAACAAGGGTAGGGCAACAGCATGTAGTTGTTCGTTTGTTGGAATATGCAACTTCGGAGCTGTCAATACAAGCCCAAGCCATTTTTGCTATGGTAACTTCTGCGCTATGCTTTTTAACAGACTGCTTCCCCTTGAGAGTTTAGACGCTACCTTAACAGTACCAGCTGCCTTAATAGCATTAACAAGCGTGACTTGTTCTGCCATGCCTTTTCATTCATTGATGGAGCTCTAGAATCCACCATCAAGAATTACAGAACCCTAGATTATTGTCATTGAAAACTTTTTTGTTGTGAATCTTGAGAGCAAAACCCACAATCAAGAATTAATTTATCCAGTAAAACTAAAATCAGATTATAAAAGCCCTTGATTACTTAAATCAAGAACAAAAAATATATGGTTAGAATGCCACAAAGATCATTTTCTTGAAAATTAATTTGTCTTCGCATCCTCAAAATCAAAATAAAAGGTATTTATATGTTTGATTTGAATAAAAATAATCATAATTAACTATAAGCTAAAAATTAATTTTAAACAACCAACTAATTTAAAAGTATAGGTAAACAAAATAAAAGCCTAAGCCTTGTATAAATAAAAGTCCAACATATATTCTAGACCTTATCGAAAGGTCTTTTCAATATTTGATTTATATGAACTATAACTCTATAAAAAATAAGGTTTATGAAATTTTCTACAAAAATTTAAGATTGATCCAATGATCAGATTGCAAGTTATGACTATTAATATGAATATGTATAGTCAAGCTCTAGCACATGTTAAGCAACCTCATCTCTTGCTTGGATCACATTGATTAAGATTTGATTTTCATTTGAACTCATATTCATGCTTTATACCATTTTAGAATGAATTCTTAAAGCTTACTCAACTAAAATATTATGAATCAGTCCATTCAATGCCTTTTTGATCCTATTAGCTCTTGCATATGTAATGGATTTTATAGTGTTACTTGTTAATTCTCATGATCTTTGATAGTGTCATTGAACTTAATCTAATGGGTTAATCTTAAAACCTTTTAACCCGATTTCTTTTCTAGCTTAAGCTTCAAATTAAATCATTTGGAGTTATCTTGACATGACTTAGTTGATTTTATATGTCCAAGATAACCAGTAAAAATATGACTTGGTTTTACAAAAAAAAAAAATCCAAGATGACATTCTTTTTTAAATATTAAGATGATGACACATCGGATCGCTCAAGTTTCGTAACTTAACTTGCTAAATTTGCAACATAGATCATGAACTCTATTAATTTGAATAACTTTCTTTAATTATTTTTTTACTTAATTATATGACCACAAAAATATATACATATAAAATTGACCTCAAATCAAATACTGAGATATTTATTTGAGACTATTATAAAAAGCAAACCAAAATAAATCATAAAGTTCGATTCAACTAAATTGATCTTGATCTATTTTTTTAGGCATGTTGAGAGAAAAAAACACCACCATTGAAATTTTCTCGTCAAATAGAACTCGTTGACATTAAAAAAATATCATTAACCTTATTAACTAAATTCATAAAATGACTTTAAGGTATCATTTTTAGTTTTTATTTTGATTCCAAAATATTGAATGGAAAAATAGAACAATTTAAGAAGGGATTTCGTATTCATTCTCAAACTTTCAAGTGCTATTAACATTGTAAAAGATAAATAAAAATCACTTAGATATAGTTTCTAGCTTCAATTACAAAAAATGATAAATAAAAAATGATGATGGTGATGATATGAAATGATTGCTCTAACTTTTTAACAGACATGGCATTCCAAATAAAATGAGGTTTAACTATGCCTAACTGATTAGAATTTAAAAAAATATTTTTATCAAGATTTTATATCATCATTTTGCATTTAAAATATCAATAACTCCTTAACTAAATCATATTTTATAATAATATATCTAATAATATAAGATACCTTTAATTTATGGTAAATATTCATCCTAAATGCAAGCCTATCACATAAATAAAAAGATTGATTGATGAGTTAAAAGTATTGAAATTGAAAGGACAAAGAGAGGGTCAAACTTAGAAAGATGCTGATGCAGTCCAAACGGGAACACTTTCGGTAATTGAGTTATATTTGGAGTTATATGATTAGTACTTAAAAATATTTTTTTATCAAGGTTTTATATCATCATTTTGCACTTGAAGTATCAATAACTCCTTAACTAAAACATGTTTTATAATAATATATATAATAATATAAGATACCTTTAATTTATGGTAAATGTTCATCTTAAATGTAGGCCTATCATATAAATAAAAGGATTGATTAATGAGTTTAATTAGATCATATATGGAGCTGCATATCTTGGATTTAAGTCTATTTTATATGGATAGAAAGGTAAAATATAAGCCTACAACTTTCATGTGTGGGTCTGATTTTAATAAGGCCGTTTTCAGGAATTTCATAGTTTATTAACAACCTCAATCTTACACACCTAACTTGGTAAATTTTTGTAATTGCATATTGAGCAAAGCAATAAAGTACTTTTTCAATTTTTCAAGAATGGTGTCAATTTTTTAAGATGAGAAGTGGAAAAGAGATTAAAAAGAAAGAGAAGGAGCAAGGAATTGAACAAAAAAACAATGTCCAGGGAGTACCGACTTAAGAGTCATGGAGTACCGTTATTCATCATTTAACCGAGGTGAGAGAGACTAGCAAACCAAGAGGCATAAACAAAAAAAACAAAACACAAAAATAATGTGAGAAAAATAAAATAATCAAAATTTATCTACATGATCATTCAAACCACTAGATTCATTTTTACTAGGAAAATTATCAAAGTAAGCTTTCAAACAATGTCCATTTACCTTAAAAACATTATTATTCTTTCGATTCTAAAATATCAAAGGCCCTATAAGGATACACATGTTTCTCAATTAATGGACTGCTCTATCTTAATTTTAGCTTTTTAGGGAATAAATGGATTTGAGAATTATAAAATAAAACTTTTTAACAATATTCACAAGTTTTGCAGAATGCATACATGTCCTTGAACATGGTAGGCCAAAAAAATGCATTTTGAAAGATTTTCGCAACTGTTATTTTTTACAAGAAATGACTCCCACATACTTTAGAATGACAAAGTTTAATGACACTACTTACCTCATTGTCAGGAATGCATCTTTGAAATACTTGATCGGGACAATATTTGAATAAGTTAGGGTCATCCAATAAAAGTTCTTCACTTCGTTCAAAAACTTTCCTTTGTTTTCGGTACTCTAATGAGCTGGCAAATCTCCTAAAGTAAGAAAATTGATATTTTTATCATACCAAGGCATTGGACTAAGAGAAAGTAAGGATTCGTGAGGAAAGTAATCATCAATTGATATGATGTCAGATGTCGAATCTGTTGTCATTCTTGATAAAAGATCTGCATCAACATTTCGGTGCCTTTTTCATCTATGATTTCTTCCTGAGAATAAATCATTTGCATATCTTCAAATTCATCAAACTCTATTTTACTCACGATAGATTCAAATTGATTACAAACTAATTCATTAATAAGATCTATTTCCTGTGAATTATTATAATCTCCAAGTTGTTTGCAAATGTTAAAAATATTCATTTCCAATATCATGTTTCCAAAACATAGCTTCATCTGTCCATTCCTATAATTAATCAATAGATTAGAAGTTGCAAGAAATGGACATCCTAAAATAACAGGAAATGAATTACTTGCTTTAACAGGTTGTGTGTTCAAGACAATAAAATCCACATGATAAATGAATTTATCAACTTGTACTAACATATCTTTAACTATTCCTCTAAGCACTTTTATAGATCTATCGATAAGTAAAAAAATTACAGAAGTTGGTTTTAACTCACTTAGATTGAGACTCTAAAAAACTGAATATGGAAGTAAATTCACATTAGCTCTAAGATCAAGTAAAGCTCTTTCAATTTTATGTTATCCAATAAAGCAAGAAATTGTAGGGCAACTAGGATCTTTATATTTTAAAGCATTATTATTCTGAAGAATGACACTTACTTTTTTGGCTAAAAAGGCTTTCTTTTTCACATTCAGTTTTCTCTTCACAGTGCATAGATCTTTCAAAAATTTAACATAAGAAGGAACATGTTTAATAGCATCCACCAAAGGTATATTGATCCTTACTTGTTTGACAATTTTAAAGATTTCAGAGTTGTGATTGACTTTTCTTTGTTTGGTCATGACATGAGAAAATAGAAGTACTGGCAGGGAATCAGTCATTTCTTTATAATATTCACAAGCAACCCATTTCTTACCCTCAGAGATTGAATCATCATCTTTCTCACAAGGTTCAAGAGTGGTTTTTCAATAACCTTACCATTGTGAAGAGTAGTGACTGATTTAACTTGATCCATGTGTTGGCTTTTGGAACTACTTGCATTTTCATTGTATTGCCTCTTAGAATTTTGTTGTGGTTGAGATGGAAACTTACCTTTCTCTTGGAAACTGAAAACAGATGTTAATTTTGCAAGAGTATCTTTAAAATTTGTCATGCTTTGAGCAAGTTGAGTATTGATTATCTCTTGCATTTCAATGAATGCATGCAATATTTTCTCAAGATTTTTTCTAGGAGGTGAAGCATAAGAAGGTGCATATCCATGAGAATTTTGGAAATTGTGGTGTGCTTGAAATGGTGGTTGTAAAGTTTGTACATTGTATTGATTAGGCCTTTGGAAACTGTTTAAAGCATGAACTTCTTC